CATCCCTCAACTGCTCTGGAAGGGGGCCCCAGGGAATTCCTTCACCATCTTGTTTTCACTGCTAAGGAAATGGGAGACCCCTTCCCATGTGATCTCTGCCAGCCAGCTTTGCACATGTCCGCTTGGGGAGGGGGCACGCAGGCAGAAACTTTTTCCACCTGCCTCCAATTTCGTTTGGTGGGAAGAGCACAGATTGGCAGGAAGGACCTTTCCCCTCAAACACACCCATGCGGCCCCCAAGGTGATGGGCACCCCCATTTCCACCTTCTGATGGGAGGATGCAGGGCTTGGTATCCCACCGCTGCAGGGCCTGAGGTGCAGCATGCCTCACTGAAGAAAGCTCTATTCATGCATCATGGCTCAGTGAGAATTTGGAGGGGGAAGGGTCTAGCTTTCTGCTCAAGAGCATCTATGGATTAATATTCTGCTCTCCTCCTGCATGCTTTAAAGAGGCCCTTCAAAAGGTATCTGAAAAAAGTTCTAGATGGAACTTGATGGCTTTTACGTGGATGGGGCATTTTAAATGCATCAGGCATGCTTCTGAAAGTCCCATCACTTTGGTTCTGTGGTTTAACCTAGCTGCAGACCCCAGCTTCAGGGGAAGAGGGAAATTGGGTCCCTGCGTCCCCCGTGTCTGGACCGGGCTGCAGCTGGGCTCGCTAGCGAGAGTACAAGTGAGCAGAAGGGATGGTGGAGCTGGAAGTGACGGACTGCCCTTTTTCAGCAGCTAGAACGCTTACACGCAGTCCGACTGGAAGCTACACAAGTGGCTTTGGCTTGCAGTACTGCGGCTCAGCTGGTGGGGTGCTCAAGTTCATTGCCATTTGGAGTTCCACCCTTCCCTTATACACGCTCAAGGGGTCAATTCAACATGCCAGCTTCCTGCTACAGTTTCTTCTCATCCACAGTCGAGAAAGTCGGCAAGGTCCAAAGCAATGCAGACGTCAGAGGCTTTTAACTGGGAACAGGCAGAGCGGAGTATGCAAGTTAGTTACAAAAGTTACAAGGCAAAGTAAAAGGTTACCATTTGGAAACTCAAGAGCAAGAAGAGTTTGCCATTAAGAGCTTAGCAGTAGCTTTGGGTCTGGGACCAAAGTCTTGACAGAAATGGAAGAGTCCAGAGGCCATTAATACGTGGTCGCTGTGCTCCAGTCGCCGTGCTCCCTCCAAACACTATGACATGAACGCTGTCAGCAGTACCAGCGATGGGCTTTGCACTGTTTCGTGACTGAAATAAACCTGAATTGGAGTTACCGAGGTAGTTGGCTAGAAACTGAGATTTCCCCACCTGGCATTTTCTTGAAGGCCATACCATCCCCTCCACCCTACCTCACACACCTACACAAATGCCACGTGCCCAGCTGATGGGCTTCAGCTGTCCTGCAGGCCCCTGGCACCAATTCCCGAGACAAAGCCTTCTTTAAAAAACAGGGAACGCACAGCCCTTTTATAGTCTTCAAAAACACCAAGTTATTGCACTTCGAAAATACAACAGATTTGTGGTTCAAGCCCTCCCCTCCCCCCACCCCATGGCTTCTGCTCAACTAAAAGGATTCACTACGCACAATTTCTACATTATCGTCCGATGAGATTAAAAGGATTCAAAACGTGTCTCTTTACATGAGGTGCAGAGCTGCGGGAGCTCCTAACTAGAACAGTGCGATTCCAATCTGACGTCTTTCCTTTCGGTCCTCCCCCCCCTCCCCCCAAAAGCCCTCTAAGCCTTGCATTCTAGAAACCTCCCCCCAACCCACGCCCCTCTCGCCCCCACCCGGTCACATGTCCAGAGATAATCAGGAATGGTTATTTAACAAGACAAAGATGCACACAGCTTTGGAGATGCACTGGAGTTTGCCGTCCCGTAGGGTCCCAGGCGGCCTCCAGCGATTCACACTGCGATGCTGAATGGCAGCAGAGGTCAGATCGCTCTGGATCCTGGCTGCCCAGCTTAAGACACTTTCCTTACTTCAGACTCCGGTTCAGGTTGAGCTGGTAGAGCTCGGGGTCAGGCTGGTTAGCGGGGGCAGGTTTCCAACCAAGAAGCAGCTCAATGGTTTTATTTTTCGTTTTAATGGTTAACTTGGAATAGGAAAGTCAAAGGAGACCAGGGAGGAAGGGAAGTGAGGTGAAGGAGGAATCCCCCCCCCTCCGGTTTTGTAAGCACCAGAGTATTCAAGTCTGTCCATTCTGAGATTCAGAGCCACTTCTGCAGTCAGCAGGCAGACACTAAACCTTTCTCGTAAGAGCAGCGTCGTTTCGGTTGGGGTCCCTCATCGTCGTCGTCGTCTTCCTCCTCTTCCTCCTCCTCTTCCTCGGACGACGAACTGTCCAGTGTTAAATCCACAACATCGGCGGTGGCCTTGCCATTCTCTCCATTGCTGTTGGGAGCGGGCAACAGCCCGTTCACCTCCGAAGAACCTGGGAAGAAAGAGGTGTGATTAGAACGTTTAAGCCGCCACAAAGGCTACTTCCACGGCAGAGCCCGAAGGGATGTAGCCTCTTTGCACCTCTGGACATATCTGGAGACGGGGCAGATAAAACCGTCCCTCCGGGGTGGCTGTGTATGGAAGTCCAGCCGCTCCAGAGGTATGTGAATATTTCCTGAGATGCCCTGGAAGGAAGATGGCAACTTATCTGTGCTGTCGCTTTTCAAGATATAGGCCAGATGTGTGTTCCACTCAGATGTGCGTGTACCCAGAGAACTCATTGGGGTTGGGCTCACACCCAGCGGCCTCCAACACCTCTCCCCATGGCTATATAATGATGGAAGTCCAGCCGCTCCAGAGGTATGTGAATATTTCCTGAGATGCCCTGGAAGGAAGATGGCAACTTATCTGTGCTGTCGCTTTTCAAGATATAGGCCAGATGTGTGTTCCACTCAGATGTGCGTGTACCCAGAGAACTCATTGGGGTTGGGCTCACACCCAGCGGCCTCCAACACCTCTCCCCATGGCTTTAAAATGGCAGCTCCTGCCTGACCCCGGCTGAGTTCTTTCACACAATAATCCAAGACTGGAGACTCTGATGCAGGCAGGGCAGAGGGTGAGTCACGGAATACGTGGCTACACCCATATCTCCAAGAACAGTTGCAAAAATAACCATTTTCTCTTTAAGTGGCGGCAGATGTGTATTTTGCACAGGTGACTCTCCAAGCCCTTCCTCCTCTTGGTATTGCTTGGATTAGGGACGCTTACTGATTACCCGTTCACATCACCCTTAACATGCGATGCTTACCAGGTACCAATTAAGGAACCAGCCCCTTGCACTTGAGGCTGCTGGTAGCCTTAAGTGCGGGAGGGGGGAGCAGAAGCCCCCCCCATGCTTGCTGGCTGGCTACTGCTGCCACCCCACTCCCACACGTGTGTATGTGGGGGGGGCACCATTCTCCCTCGGACTTGGGGCTGACAGGTTCTGCTGCTGGTCCCCCTCTTTCCCCTCCATATGGAACCCTGATACCTGGTTAAACCTTAACTGGGATTTTACATCCCTCGCTTGAAGCTGCTCAATCACTAGAGAACGACCTTCCCTAAGTTTGCATCCGACCTAGAAGCCGCCATAAGAGCAGCCTGCTTGGTCAACACACATACGGAAGACTGCAGCAGCCGTACGAGCACCCTGCATTGGAACAGCTGAGAAACGCAGTAGATTTGTCTTGGGCTTCTTTAGCTCTCAATGCTGGAAGTTCCCTCCCAGGGACATTTTGACAAAGCCAGCTGCCCTTTTGTCTGAGTTGCATAAAAGACAAAAAGTCGATGCAACGATGAAGCATTTGAGTCCTTCCTATGTACAATGCCAAGCACCACCTCACCCGAGGCACGGAGACACTGATCGTGTACCCCAGAGTGCGGCTTAGGAAAGCATATAGGTAAGTAAATCAGCTGACGGCGAAATCACCTTGGACAATGTCAGCTGTGCCCTGTAGGACACTTGGTCTTTGAAGCACGGTGCACATGAAAGCCCTGTCATTAGGGCTTGCAGTTCACTGACTCTTCTTGTGGAGGCTGGAGCAATAGGAAAGGCTGTCTGCTGAGAAAGAAAAGGAGAGACAGAGCAAGCTGAGAGTGGCTCACATGGCAGACCCATGAGGGCAGCCGGTACAGCATGAAGGTCTCACAAGGACCATTTCCTTCACAAGAAGGAACAGAGGGACAAAACTCTTCAGGAGTCACTGGGATGAGTTGAGAAAATGAGACTTCTCCTGGATTGGCGAACGGCATGCTGAGATCCCCGCCAAGTGGGCACTAAGCAAGACAAGAGGCAGACTGGAGGACTTAGAGGTAGCAAGTAATCCAAAAGCATCCTGAGCACTAGCTGCCATCAGCTGAATTCTCCCAGATACTGACCAAATGGAAAACAAACAAAACCACTTTCGCTTGGCTAAATTGGTGGCCTTTAGTAGGTGGCTTCCTACTATTAAATAGGACCCTCCAAACAGCGTCTGAATATTTCTTCCTTCATCTAGCCATTCGCGCTGCCAAGTGCGGCATGTGCAAATCAGCCATGGCACAGAGTAGGTTGGGCAGGAGACAAAGGATCTGGGAGGCTGAACTGATAGTTGGAGGAGATTCAAGATCCAACACTGTCTCAATCAAGCTGCACGTCTCAGTCTGGCATGGTCCAACTTCAGTCTGTGGATTAGGGATGTTAAATGTCAATCAGCTAATTGAGTAGTCGATGGAATTTCCATTGACTACTAAATTAGTCAATAAGGGGAGCACTTGCTATCCTGCTGCACCTCTCCCTTTGAAATGTACAAGAGATGCAAGTGGCTCTTGTACATTTCAAAGGGAGAGAGGCATCGGGAACTCACCCCAGCGCGAGGAAGTCCCCCACTAGTGTGGGTTCCCCTATGTGCCTCTTCCTTTGAAATGTGCAAGAGCCACCTGCGACTCTTGTACATTTCAAAGGGAGAGGAGCAGCAGTTGGGACCTGCAGGCAGGACTGTTTCAATCCCTGCTTGTGCTGTCCCCTGCCTCCCCTGACCCTGCAGAGACGATGCTGTGAGGAACTGGCTTTTAAGTTGGCTTCCCCCAGCACCGGCTCCTGCTCCCCCACTTGCTGCCTCTCTCTCAGGAGCAGCAAGGGTGGGAAGTGACTAGTCGAGTTCTTACTCGACTACCCGATAAGCATTTGCTTATCAGGTAGTTGACTAGTCGCTTACATCCCTAGTGCGGATAACATGAGAAATAAGAGGAACAGGGGGAAGTACTGCAGGGCTGATCTCCAGCACAAGCGGAAGGCACTGGCTAAAGACTGGACCGAGTCCTGCTCAAGAACCAAACTGACAGCACTTTTGTTACAAACAGGCTGACTGAGTGGATGCACCACTCCACTGGTGGTTCTCGGAGAAAGTCCTGCTGAGGCCAGTGGGGTTTGTAAGGCTAGCAAGCATTACGCCGTCTTTGATGCACAGGTACCAGAACTCTATTGCTTCCTGGCAAAGCTGATTGGAGCAAGCCCCTTCCTGCTTGTTCACATGAACCACTGCGGTGGGAGAGTCGGTTAGCATGCTGCCCTGATCCAGGCTGATCCCGAAAGGCATGACAAGCGTTGGAAGTGGCTTGAAGCGCCAATGTGCTGATATGAAGACATGCTTCTGGCTCGGACCGTAAACCTTTCATGTCCCTAGATGCCGTATTGTGGTGGCATTGTTGACTGGAATCCTAGTTATAGAAAACGGGCAAAGAGAACCTGATCTGCTTTGTTCTGCTTAGCACACCGCTAGAGAGCCCAGTATCTCTGGCGCTGCTCAGACCAGCCAGTCCACTGACGGGCAACTAGGGTGAGAAACAAACTTCAACCATGACTGAAAACGACAAAGATTCAGTCTCGTGAGCTGGGCCACATGGTCTAGTAACTAAAGGTTTACATGGACCACGGTCAAAGGCTGAGATTAGCAGTCCAGAGAGAGACAGATATCAAATTAATGTAGAAGAAAGGCCCTCAGATGCGTAGAAGCTAGTAGAGTCTCTATAAAAATCAAGACTGAATCCGCTATGTTACAGTTAACACCCGCTGACCAAAGAGGTACAATGTGAAGTGGAGACTGAAGGCTTATTCTTTGGCTCTGCCCCTCACTAGTCAATTGTCTAGGTCCGGAAAGACATGATTTCCCCTCCTTTGGAGAGAAGCCACTACAGCCATGATGTCGACAACAGGCCAGAGTGAGGAACAGTGTGTTGATAATACTGACTGAAGCTAGGAAGCTTCCTGTGTTTGGGGAAAACTACCACATGGAAACAGGCATCCTGAAGATCGAAAGCAGCTAATCAGAGGTCATGAGCCAAATACGGGGAGAACAGTAGCCATGGTAACCATGTGGAAATTACACATTCGATGGAATTGGTAAGACCATGGAGACTGAGTCAGGTCTCATCCCTCCCCCGAACGTAGGGGTCAGAAAGCATTAGGAGCACAATCCTTTCCCCTGAAGAAGAGGCATCACCTTCTCCACAGCTCTCAGGGGGGCCAATTCGGGATCTGCTGAAGCAGCAACAGCAGTTCATGGGAGGAGTCCCGGAAAAGGGACTCCCATGCCACTTTGAAGGCATAACTCAACTTTGCTAAACAATGGATTTGGACTCAATAACTAAACCAGTTAAGGATCAAAACTCCATTCTAAGGGCCTGAAGACCCCATCAAGAACGATTCCCCCCTTACAGTGTTGTTACTACCTCTCTGATACTGCTAACTCCTGTGTGTGGAAAGACAGGGGAACCTACTAGCAGACTTACAGCAGCATTCTGAATAGAGCGCCTAAGGTGTTCGACAATTCTCCAATACTGACCACATCTCCCGATTTTGTATCAAGTTGCAATCTTTGCAAGCTCTCTACAATTCTTCTTTCAGTGCATTTAAAATCATTAGCCACACCCACACACCCACCTAGTACCAATATCGGACACTGAGGGCTGCAGCTTCTTTCTTTCTCAGCTTTGATTGGACACCAGGATCCATCCACCAGGAATTCGATTTCATCTGCATCCTCGCATTCCGTCAGTATTTTTGAGAGGAGCCTGAAGAGGAAAGAGAATACCATCTATTAGCCCTGAGGCACTCGGCAATCTGTCATCAAAAGTGCTCTGCTAAGAGGGATCTTCACTTTAAATGGCCCTAAAACGTACAGGGTTGAAGGGGATTTGGTGATAGTGAAAAGCTGCTACACCCAAGTCCTATTATTCCACACAACAGGTACTGGTAGAGCAAACATCCCCACTCCACCCTGATGTGCCTTAAACCATGAATCAGAGAGACTAAGAGAGAGAGCAGCCTTCCTGCTCAATCCAGTCCTTGGTCTCTATCGATGCTGCCCATGGAGTGGAAGGGGACAACTACTGTTATGTATGAGAGGTGGTGGTTTGGTGATGAAGGCTTTCTATTAGGAAGTGGGCTGAGATGACAGCTCAATTATTAGATGTGATAACAAACCTAGAGCAGATTTGAACATGAGGCTAAAGTCTCTCCCTCACACCTTATCTTGTAGCTCATCAGGCTGACATTTTCATCACAGTAGAACACATTCCTAACCCCGCTGCAAGCCTTTTGTTGGCTAACTTCCCAAATCCCTTGTGCTGCTGCCCAGACAATATTCTGGGGAAGCCACATCGATAGCTCATTGGTAACTCGCGAACATCCAGTTTTACTCATCGTAAACGGACAGAATACTTCACCAGATGCTGGACTTCCCAAGCTAGTGCTGAAATCTCTGGGGAAAAGTACAAGGCATGACCTGTCCTCCCACACTGGGTGGAAAATACACCAATTATGGCACAGTTTGACATGGCCACCTTTTCTAATCACAAGGAGACTGACCACAAGGAGATCAAAACTACTGCTCTGGTTGACCGGGCCACAGACGCTGGGTGTTTGCTTTTCTACTGTTGAGGTGTCTCATCACTGGCCTCACAAGGGTGTCGATTTGAGCAGGTCAATTCTAGAAAGCATCACACACATCTTGGCTGGGGAGTTATCAGTAGGAGGGTGAACAAATACTTGATTTGCACAAGGCCATTCATGACATTTCCTTGACGTGTGATACATTTGGAGAACAGTTTTGTCATGACTGAGTAGGAGTTGCTCTTTGATTCATGACAGGCTCTGGAGTTCTATTGGCCTAGCCTAGCTAAAGGACTACTAGAAACAGAAATACTAGACATTTCTATTTCTCCTTTTCTTCCAAAGTCTAGTCCTCCACAGCCAGGCTATAAATCAGAAAGGGAGATGGATTTTTCCTGTTGTATTGGTTGAGTTAGAGGATATTTAATAATTATGACAGATAATAATGTCTACTTAAGCATCTTCTTCTGTTTTTTCCTGTTTAAAATTATGTGGGGTCAAATTATTTAATGTCAGCCGACATTAAAATTCAAGAAGTAAATGTTAAAATGAAAATTGTCAACACATCAAAATATACAAAGTAAATATCCTTAAATCAAACTCTAGGTTCTCAAATAGCATTTTTCTTACTATGCCTCTCAAAATTTCAATTTTTTTATATTTACCAATAAAAATTTAATTCTTCCAAACTATGTATTTGCCAGAGGGCAGAGTGAACAGATAATCTATGCCTCGACTGCTTCAGACTAAAGAGGCCATAAAAGCTAGATAAGATCAGTAACTATGAATTTCTTGATGCTCCGAGTACTGTCTGCATGATTAAATCTAGGGGAATATATAACTGAGGTTGAAAAGGACTGGAGAGGTCGCCAAGTCCAGTTTCTTGCTCTCACGGCAGGGCCTCACTCATTTGCCCCTTGCAGAATTCATCTGAGCTCTTGTGAATTGCTCCATCAGTAGGTCCGAGAGATCAGAGGGTGGAGTTGGTTTCCCAGAAACCAGCAGCTCTGCATCTTGTTCGACCAGTACCCCTTGTTGCCATCACCATTTGTACAGCTGTCAGCAATCTCTGCTTTGGAGCTCAGTAAACAGTCTGGCTGCCTGTTCACATAGGAAACAATGGCATTCACCCCTTTCTCTCTTACTTTGCTCTTAGCAGCGCACGCTGGAAATATACGGAGTTCTCCCTTAAGGGGAGCAGCATCTAACCCAGGGTGGGCAATAATTTTTAATGGGGGGGCCATTCCAAGATTTTGGCAAGTGCTCAAGGGCTGCATTTCTACCAAGGAGGCTTGGGGTCTGGGACAGAGATCGGGTGCAGAAAGGAGCTTAGGATAAGAGACTGGGGTGCAGGAAGGGGTGTGGAGTCAGAGGGAGATTGGGTGAAGGAGAAGGTTGTGATCTGGGGCAGGGGTTTGGGGTGCAGAGTCCAAGAGGGAGTATGGGTGCAGGAGAGGTTTCTGGCCTGAGGGAGGGGCTCTAGGAGGGGGTGCAGGATCTGGGAGGGAGTTGTGAGCTGAAGTAAAGGGATACAGAGAGTTTGGGTGGTGGCCTGGGGCAGGTAGTTGGGGGGTGGGAGGAAGAAGGGGGTGTCAGAGGCAGGCCCTGTCTGGGAGGCACATCTAGGCAGCTTCCAGTCAGCAGCCCTGCAGGAACCTGAAGGCTGCAGTGACTGCTCTGGGCAGGGTGAAAGAGCGGGGGGAGGAGGAGGAGGCGGCTTCACTGGCCGACCCTACTGCCCGGAAAAATCTCAGCTGCTATTGGTCAGAAACTGGCCAATGGGAGCTGAGAGATTTCATCGAGGGGCAGGGCAGAGTAAGAATCTCCCTCCTCGCTCCCAGAATAGAGCAGTCACATTTAAAGTGGCTGCCGCTGCGCTGTGCTTAAGAGTCCCAGCGAGGCAGCTGCAGGCTGGATCCAGTGGCTTGATGGGCCGGATCTAGCCCTCTGGCAACCTCTTGCCCACCCCTGATCTAACCCCATGTTCCTGGAGCTATCACGGATCCTAGTTAGGTCTAATTTGCATAGGCCCTAGGGTGACATCTGTTCTGTGGTTCTTGTAGACTATTCTTGTCCAGGTTCTGCATGTTGAAACAATCTCAGTGATAGGAGGCAAATATTCTTTGGGTAGGAATATTCTCTTGATAAGACTCAATTCCATCTCTCCATGTTTCTTCCAATATCAAACCTTGTTCCGTGATGCACTATGGAAGCATATCGCCTCCAAGGAGCTGGTCTATTATCAAGCCGTAATTTGAGCAGCTGACATTCTTAAATGTTTTCAAGGCTAAGGTGACACTGCTATCATTCAGCTAGCTGCCCACGTATGAAGAGACTGAAGCCTTCTCCTTCCCAGGTCACTATATTTGAGAATGTCTATGGTGCAGTTCAGCCAAAGAAGAAAGTTTGGTAGCGGTATGTGGACCCCAACACTGACCACTGCATCGGTAGGATGTGCCCTTCGCAGACCAGTTTTCTCATTAAGTTTTTTTCAAAGGGCCTTATGAACCCTAGGGGGTTTCTATTGGATGGACTTTTAGGGTCACTACCCTAATGTCTGGGATCCACAAGAACGCCCTCAGCAGCACCCTCTTGTTCTCTTGGACACTAAGACAGAATGAAGAAACAGTCTCTAAGGATCTTCCCCTACAAATGGCTTCAGACTCTTGCTCCAGCTTGGTGGTGACAAAATACAGGCCTCTTTCCTCCCATCAGAGACCTGAATGCTCTCTTGGGCTTGGTTCTCTGTTAAAACAGCTTAGGAAGGAGGCAGACCAAAGTAACCCCATCTCAGCTGGCTGGATCAGAGTCCAGTGAGGCCATCTGCCACCCTTAGATTTTGTTTTGTACTGGCCCCATTCCATTCCTGTGTCTGCCATGCTGAGTGTAAACCTAGGGAGCGCTGCCAGCCCTCGTACTATTGTTAGAAGGCACAATACACAGGAGCTTCCATCTGGGAGCCTGAAGCTTAACTTCTTCTACTTGAACAGGTCCTCTCCGAAAGCAGCACCAACAACTAGCGTGAAGGGGATTCAATTCTTAACAGGCTGAGGTTCTCTCAACCTACCAGAGTTAAGGTTATTGGTGGCAGATACTAGTAGGAATCATGAACCAACAAGCCCCTTTTGTTCATGGAAGAACATTACAAAAGCATCTTGGCTGTACAGTCTCCATCTACTGGCAGGGAGAAGCTATACCCATGTGTCTGAGAAGCTATACCCATGTGTCTGAACTAGTGCTGAACGATGCAAGACTACAATCCTAAGCAGCTTTGAGGAACCCCAACCAAGAAAGTAAATATAAAATCATTTAAAGGCGTATTAGTAAAAACAATGGCTAAGAAGCCAAGAAAAAATTCAGAATTAAGCTTAAAGAACTCAAACTTTAGAATGCTTGGCCATCTTAGTTACGAATATCCACATTACCATAGATATACCTATTTTATAAAACTGGAAGGGACCTTGAAAGGTCATTGAGTCCAGTCCCCTGCCCTCATGGCAGGACCAAGTGCCATCCCTGACAGATTTGCCCCAGATCCCTAAATGGCCCCCCTCAAGGATTGAACTCTCGACCCTGGGTTTAGCAGGCCAATGCTCAAACCACTGAGCTATCCCTCCCTCTCCAATACACCCCTTCAGCATTTCCAACCCCCTATCTTGTCCTTTTTATAGGAACTCAGAATATAAAATCCTGGGCAAAGCTTTTTCTAAGGACCTTAAGAAGCTTGTAGCCTACAGACACTATTTGCACAGTTTGCGGGTGGAGCATCAAAAAAATGTACCCCCAGAGCACTGGTTTTAACTGCATTCATACCTCCATCTTAGATGTGCTAGCTCTGCATCTAATGACACCTGGATTAATGGCTGGCACTTAGAATCATCTGACTCAAACTTAAGACGTGCTGAGAACTGCTTGTGAGGTACTGAGCACCTTCAGCATCTTGCAGGATCAGGCCCTTAACGAAGGAGTGGGAGAAGTGGTGCATGCTGAAGGCAGCCTGTCTTGTCAGGAGTGTGTAAAGTAGTTTTATTCTAAGGAGTGTAAATGACAATCAACAATCACTGCATGGAAAAGAGCAAAGCAGCCTAGCTTTCGCAGTCACCATGATGAAAACCGAATACGGTTGTAGGAGCTTCAGAGCGAGATGATAAACGACAGAATCAAAGAAGCGACGCCTAGTGACCGAGTCTCACGCAAACCCACCACCACCAGGAACTGGGAGAGGAGTGTATCACATGCCAACTGGAGCAATTATGCTTTTTTAATTTAAAGAATTTTTAAATGAAGGTGGATCACCTATAAGGCCTTAAAAATCAGAGCATACTCCCAGCGTAGAAGAGGATGGGAAGGAGTTATCAAAGAGGCAGAAAAGGAAAGAGGGTGTGAACTTACCCATCAATTATTAGCTGGTCATAGGGTGCTGGTTTGTCACACACAGGGCACATCCATGTGGGCTTCTTCTCATTCATCTGTAGGTAGAAGACTGCATCGAAGCACTGTAGGTGGGCGCAGGTCTCAGCCCGGCATGGAACAGACAGACGCATCTTCACCAGCTATGGACCAAACAGCATAAAGATTGGGGCCAGTCCCACCATTCTACCACTAGATGCCTCCTCTCCCCAAACTGGATACTGGTGTCATATGCAAATACACAAGAAACTGCTTCTAGATGTTTTTGGTGAAAAAAAATGATTATCCTGTAAAGCTGGTTTGAATAAGTGAAGAGGAGAGCCAATGACAATAGCCTGGATTTCTTTGAAGCAACTTACCGGGCAGATGAGAGAGACTCGAACACCTGTAGTGGCAATTTCACTGTCTGGATCCAAACGCAATTTCTCTTTTACTGTATTCAGGAAGACAACATGGGACAAAGTTAAAGGAGCTCGTTTTAGACCCATAAACATGTAGTGCAGGAGCCAAGCTTCTGCAACTGTCACATGGGGAAAAAATGCTTTTGGTGGGGAGGATTCTGTAAATTCTCTGCAGTAGGCAAGCAACTAAGCCAACTTTGGGAAGCAGAGACAAACAGCGTGGGAGGTGGTAGCAGGCTGCTTCACTGCAACATTAGGACAGACACTGGACAAGAATTTGGGATTGGGCCAGGGCCACAGTCACTTTAAAAAAAGAGTCAGTAAAATACAGCATGACTCATCACAATAACGGGGATTGCACAAGAGAGGGGAAGTGAGACAGCAGGACTCCTAGTTCACCTGACCCCTCCCAGTTTTATTTGATCTGAGCAGACTAGCACTACCCAGACCCCAGTAGGATGCAACTCTGGAGCTAACCAGTGAGCTGGGTAGCAGGCATGCCAGCTAGCTAAACTCCTGCAGCTTTTGCGAGATTAACACGTTTGCACCTGCAGCCTTTGCACAAGCCAGAGAGCAAGCAGGGCAGGACGTCTGGCAAAAATGCCATTTTCCAAAGAGGGATTAGACAGATCTGGAAGAAATCAACATATTAGGACAGGAGATAGGAGCCACTAGTGTAAAAATCTGAAGGGAGAGCAGAGAGAATCAAGGATGGTGCGCGAGCTGGAAGGTGAGGGGCTGAGGTGAGGGTGAGGCTACATGACTGTAGAGGTTACAGGGATACTACAACATACATCTTTGGAATCAAACAGGTGCTGAATGAATACAAGACGCTGTCCCTGGACAAACCACTCTATAAACATTACACTAGCATGGATATTCATAGAGGTTTATTGCATTTCCAGCACATCTCTCTCTGGGTAAGTTCACATTTCCATGGCTGTTTCAGACCTAATAAAATAGAACTCAATACAGAATCTTTATGAGATTTTGAAGCACAGGTCTATGTTGTCTACGATTATGTTAGCCACACAGAAAAAACAAGCATAGTTTGAAAAGATTAAATTCAGCAGACATGTCTGCCATTTTCTAGCCAGTCAAACAGATCATGGGAAATTAGAACTACAGCCTACGGCAAGGGTGGGCAATCATTTTAGATAGGAGGGCCCACTTAAAACATTTCTGAAGTGGCCCTAGGCTGCCCAGGAAGGGGCGGGGCCTTGGGTGCAAGGGGTGGGGCAAGGACACTTACATGCTTCCCTGCCCAGAGACCCTGACTGGCTTGGGGGAGGGGGGGGGAGAAGGGGAGCACTTACATCTTTGCCCCACCTCCCCACCCCAGAGAGAACCCCAGCTGTTCTGAACAGCTGGTGGCTCCCTCTAAGTGCACATGCCCCTGGCAGAGGAGCAGCACAGGAAGTCTCTTGCTCTCTGCCCCAGCCCTGCAAGGGGCGCGCGGGACTTAGAGTTAGCCCTGGCAGTTGACCAAGCACTGTGCGCCCCTGGTGGGGAGGGAATTTCGCATGCTCCCCCATCCCCAGGCCCTGACTGGCCTGAAGGCAGGGTGTCAGCACGCTGGATATGGCCTGCAGAGTCCCTTTTGCCTACCCCTGTCCTAGGAGCTATTAGCTAGCATCAAAGCTTTTTAAATGGGGGACTATAACTTTGGCTCCCAATTCCAGTGTTAGGCATTTAAGTAGCCGAGTTCAGAAAGCGCTCTTATAAAGTCAACAAACATATGCAGAGGGAAAAACAAGTCAGCCCCAGCAAGCAAGCAGAGTTAAAGTGTAGTGGTTAATGAAACAGAGGTGAACAGAATCTGAAGCTATTTGTAAAATGCTCTGGTGAGCTGTAGTAAGTAGCAGGGTTTATCAAGATACTTGGGATCTGAATTTCAGATGCCCACAAAAAAGAGTTTATGTAAAACTGAAGGGATGGTGTTTCTCATTAATTCATAGCATGACCAGGGAAACCAAACCAACAAAGCCAAACAAAACAAAGAGGCCTTCACTAGCCAAATGATGCCAAGATTTTTATTAATGTGTCTCACTGAAGTTTGAGGTGATGACAAAAATCAACTTGTGGACAGTGAAGGCAGGAAGTCTGTTGTAGAATATTTGCATGATGCTTCTAGACTTCCAAGGGATATATTCTAAGCACTAATTTTTGACCGGAAGAGCCATTCTATTCCGATTACCCACAATCCTGTTTCAAGAAAAAGGAAACTAACTGTGCTCTAAGAGGAATGATAGAATCTGGTTTTATTTACAGCACTAATAGGGGAAATGGGTGTGTAGTCCACTCTCTCTGCTTCAAATATGCTAGATACCTAAGCCTCACAACCAGAGTTGATGACTCGAGTCCCACGACTTGAACTCGAGTCTGACTTAAGTCTCCTAGGTGACTCGACTTCAGACTCTACTTGGGTTCATTGTTTGTGACTTGAGACTTGCTAATTTTGTTAAATCGACTTGGTGAAAAAATTGTCCGAAAATGCCGATATTGATGGCTTGTACGAAAGTGACTTGACATTTTTAAAATTAAGACTTGAGACTCAACTTGGGACTTGACTTGAAAGTGACTTTAGGGACTCGAGACTCGACTTGGACATGACGATGACGGCTCGAAGACAACACTGCTCACAACCACCAGGGACTGCCAAATACATTGCTGGTTGCTGTTTTGCTTCCTCTTATGCTCAAACTGCCATAAGCAAAAAGCAGTTTTGAAGCTGTCCATCAATCACATGGATCGCTGGTTATTTAGGCACAATTATGCCAAAATCACTGTCAGAATGTTGAGTTGGAAGAGATCAGCATGTCGATCTGCACCATACCAGGCAGGGCTGAGAGCAAGGTTATTTGCTATTCTGGGACCCATACAGAACTCCAAAGATAGTTGTACAAATGGACGCTAATGTTTGACTGAATTGATGCAATGTAAAAAGTCTTACTTATGTAAAGAAAGTTCGTCCCTTTCACTCCATTTTATAGATGAGGAAACAAAGGCAAGGAGCAGGAAGTGACTAAACTGGGGAAAAAACTCCCATTCCTGACTCCAAATCCACTGCTTTATCAACTAGGCCACACAATGCCTCCCTTAAACATTTTGAATTTTCTCATTTCAGTATTAGTCATCTATAGCTAGTGAACAAGCTATGAGGACCGGATATGTTTGAACATGTGTTTTTCTTAAAAATTAAATAGGCTCTTTCAGACTGTGCCCTGTAAGTGCAGGCTGCGGTTAGTGTAAAATATCACAGCAAAATTTGTTTATTGTCCTTTTTTACACAGAAATAAGTGCTAAGCCCATTACATCATTTGAAAACTGAATGACTGGAAATGTGTTTCTCAGATTAGTAGGAGCTTTGACTTTGAAAGGTAATTCCCCTAGATTTCCAATAAGTTTCTGCATTTACCCAAGACACTGGTTCCCTCTAATTTTTTCCATCCATGGATTAAATAAATTTTGTTATGTGCACTGAGACATGTGCAGATGTGCACCACCTGTAGAAACACATGCTGCTGACTGAGTGTGCTCTGCTCATCAACTGGTCAGCAGCTGACTCTCCTGGGTGGCCACCCAAGCACTCAGCTTATAGGGAACACTGCTCAATACCACGATTGATCTGAATGGGCTTAACCAAAGATCACTTCTTTCAGGAAGATCGCTGCATTTGAAAGAGGTGCTGTGGGTCACGGGGCTCCCCACATGCTCTATGAAGATTAGCATAAGAATATGAACATGAACAACTCAAATTGTGATTTATGAAAAACAAGTAATGCAACATGTCATTTTAAAAGTTGTAATCCACTGAATCTGTAGCTCCCAAGTGTGAATCTGTTTCTAATTCTAAATGTGCTAATGTGAGCTAGTAGTGATACTTCAGGAATGTAATGGCTTGGTGATCAAGTCAACAACCTGTGAATGGTTTTGGTTTTTTTGGAGGCTCAAACAGTTGTAATCCACTGAATCTGTAGCTCCCAAGTGTGAATCTGTTTCTAATTCTAAATGTGCTAATGTGAGCTAGTAGTGATACTTCAGGAATGTAATGGCTTGGTGATCAAGTCAACAACCTGTGAATGGTTTTGGTTTTTTTGGAGGCTCAAACTGTGGTCGGTTCTAGAAAGACATGTGACCATGTTGCCTGGTACTGGAATCCATCTTGCATCTGGTATTTTTCCATGGGGATGGGGAGACTGGAAAGGAAAAAAAAAAGTTCTTGCCCTGGGGGAAATCTATTTAAGGAACCCTAAGCAACCCAGTCTTTTGTCTTCAGCTGGCTTTGGACACTGCCTCACCAGCCTAAGAGGACACACATGAAGAGACCTGGAAACAACTGTAAGAGTATGGTAAAGGCAAAACCGCTGGGCCCAGGTCAGAAGAGGATCAACAATGGCCGAGATAAGAACAAGGGTGAGAAATATGGCTCGTAACAACTTCTTGCTGCATTAAGTTTAGCTGGTGCGTTTTGTTTACTTTAACGTCATAGCTTTTTGTCTGTTTTCACTTGCAATGACTTAAATCCTATTTTCCTACTTTGCGCGTCTCTCTCATTGCTAAAGAGCTGACCTTATGTACATTCTGCGTGTAAATCTATTACACGGAGTAAGATGGATTAATGTGGGAGTTGGTCCCTTTTGAGGTTTGGGGTCCCTGAGTGCAGTTAAATGGCCCTATAGCTGAGCCCTTCCAGAGCTGAGCAGATTCAGTGTCCATGTTTCTCTGCTGGGGGGGCGGTAACCCCAACTCTGTCTTGGATGGGGGAGACCAGACCTCAGCCTAGCGGGACAGGTTGTCAGGGAGCCCCAGAGGGAAAGAAGGTGGGCTCAGTGGCTTGATCAGTATGCCAGTGGCCAACCCCAAGGAAACTCCTGTAATCCAACCCGTCACACTGTGAATCCTGCTCTACGCCCTTTGAATAGAACACCAAGGGCACAGATAGCAGGGCATCTCCACATAAGAGTTCTTTGCTCCAGAATTTCCTCTAGAGGTCTTGCAGGCGCTCTGGCAGCATTCATCCATTCATAATTATTCAGCTGAAGGCAGGAAACCACTCATCAGAACGATATTGACCTTCAGCAGCACTCACCATATTATGACCTGGGAATGAATTCTAAGTCCAACTAAATGAGATCATAATTTATCTGTAGCGCCACAAGAAAAAGTGCTGTGAAAAATGTTACATCTCAGCACAGATCTGTGTTGATTCAATAACGTGCCCAATACACAGCTGAGTAAAGTCACTCCCAAGTCAACAAATATTTATCCAGAATTACAGAGAAAGATTCTATAGAGTTTGACAATTGTTTCTGCACAAATGTTATTAGCCTGACTTCTCAGCCTGGCCAGTCTGCTGAAGACTGCATGAACTTTAACAATAATATGGACTTACCAAGTGCTTTGCAGAGCTCTGGATGTTTGATTCCAATGGTTTTCAACCTCTGCAGCAATTCTGCTGAGGTCATTTGCCGCACTAAGTATAGGCCCACTGAATAACTCTAAAGAGAAAGGAAAGGGACAGGATGAGGAATACGGACATTCCCCACACACATGTGCACCTATTTTCCAAGTCATACAGTTATTTACCTTTCCATAATTCCCCCACGTAACCGTGATACGATTGGTCGCTGCAGACAGGTACATGAGATGTGTGAGGTTAATGGGACGACAAGGCCTTTTCGGCTCTACTCCAGGCTTATTGGAGGGATAGTAGCCCTATAACAAGGATAGACATTTTCCTCTTTAATTTACCAGAGACACTCCTGTGGATTTGATTTTGTAGCTACCAGGACATCAGCCTTGCAAAATTCTACTCATGTACAAAGCAATTTCTTTGGATGAGATTATCAAGTCATAGTGAAGAACAGGGAAGTTGATACTGCAGTTTCATAAGAATACAGTTAATGAATTCTACAAGCCAAATCCATTACAATGAGCTTCAAAGGTCAAAACAATCTACTTTTAGCACTCTGGCTCCTCTTCTGCATTTGCCTGATAATTTCCAGAATAAAACAAAACCACATAAATTGCACAAGTTCTCCCTATGCAATAAAGTGACTCTTTGTGGCTGGATTGACTTACCGGTACTGAGCAGTAACTATGATTCACTTTCACTGCGATGTTTGGAGGGTACTGATCCTCCTGAGGGGAGCTAGTGTCCGTGTAGCAGATTCTGGAAAGAAATGGTTACCTTTAAATATCTACATCGCATACAAGACAGAAGAGATCTCTAGCCTAATAAATACTACTGACTTCAACAGACAGCCAAACTGAACTAAGGTCTGGCATCTAATCAAACCAAGGATAGCCTACTGAGGGCATGATAGAGACTTAGAATGCTGATATGAAGCCAAATGTGATGTAACCAGAAGTTTCTATTAAAGCAATAACTCAAATCAGCTGCAGAGAACAAAGTCAAAGCAGCAGAAAGTTATGTTGTAGAGATTTGCACTATCCTCAGGAACAAAGGGACTTGCTTATAGTGATCAGTTATTTTAGTACCTACTGAACACAGAGCATTGAAACTGTTACCATACTGTGCTAGTGATCTCCTCTCTCCTAGTTTGCTGCCTCCTGGGCTTAATTTCATAGTACTGTATTGAGACTTACCTTAGCACAACCTGAACAGATTTCACACCGGCTTGCAACTCCCTGGTAAAACAAAACAGACTTTCATTTAACAAAATCTCAGTTTTCTTCTTTATCCAATTAAATAATTTAAAGAAGTCAGTTGTAATAGATTTAAGTCACGTGTAGCGGTTTATGCCATTTACTTTTAAGATTTCACTTGTTCTGGAAAATAGCAACAGTCTGGTCAATTTCATTTTCTAGCTCTTACGCATTAGCCCAAGACTGTGGTGTTTGGGTTTCCAAAATTGCAGAAAAATATTTAAAGAAAAATCTCTCTTCATTGAAATATGAAATGACCATGGAAACATTATTGGGCAGATGAGATTCTGTAAAACATTCCCACTCTCTGCCCCCAGCTAGGCTTAGGCTGACAACATCCGTATAACTCCCCCTTCATTCAATTAGCAAACTAAAACTGCGTCTTCCATTAGAGGAATCTGAGCATTATAGTACCCACAGAATATTTCTGTGGACATTTTTAGCATTAGTCTTCTATTTTATCAAATGGGATATTAACTCATTTTAGAAAAGTTGCACAGCAGAACACAAGGGTGGTCTTAGAATACATCTTGTGCCTGTGTGTAAAACCTAACTTCTTCCCAGAAAAAAAATTCAGAATTTAGCCTTGATTTGAAGATGATAATGTCTCACAGCCCAACCCTACTTTTAAGTTTTCAGGAGGTTGAGTTCAGTCTGTAGCTTACAGGAAAGGATTAGAAAGTTAGAGACAACAGGACCTATCCTGAAATGAGCACTGTGTCTGATGTCAGGTGCTCACTAGAACCCCTAAAAGGGGTGTAGGCTACATTCTAGTCTGACTGCAGGTAATGAGAAACCCCTCCCTGATCCAGATATTTCTAGCTTTTCCATTTCTACGTTTGAGACATTTCCACATTCAGCACTACAAAGTAGTCTTGATGTATCAGCCCAAATGATCTGATTGATTCTTGGTATATTGTTTCCTGCTAGTCTCCGAATGGCACTTCCTTGCAGTACTTTCTTCTCTCTAGATCACCATATTACCTGAGAACTAAACTTAAAAGTAGATATTCAAGGATGACATCCCCCCACCCCGATTTTGCGAAGTTATTACTATTAGTGTTTACTACAGAGAAGTTGTGTCAGAGTTTTGCATTTCACTCAGAAGCCCAAAAGGCTTGTCATTCTGATCTCTCACGGGAGCAAGTTCCAGAGTCACAGGCCACTCCCACACTGGTGTGTCTCACTCTTGGGATGGAAAGTTATGTCCCAGAAGAGGAATGTATGTGTTTTGGGAAGTCCTAGTGGCTGAGTACAAGAAAGTTGTTCAGGTAGCTATTATAAGTATCCTTCTGTAATGGCACTGAGCGTATAGCTTTTAACCTGTGATGCCAAAGATTTTGCAAACAAATTCACAATGTAGGCTTAAATGAGAAGTTTCAAGACATCGCATGCGCTCCCTAAACTTCCTATTTTATTGCAGAACAAAAGCCTATAGAGAATAAAATAGGTGGACAGTGCCAAAAATGGTTATGGTCTTCATACTGGAGAAAAGACTACCCTGCTGGTGTCCTCAAGCAAGCAGTGCTACCAAGCAGAGAACAGACACCCAATAGGGAGGGAAAACTGTCAGGGAGGTGATGCATTTAACAGTGTTTTAAAAATACACAACACCAAGTACCTGGAATTTCTGATCAGCTCTACTTGTCTTGGCGTCAGTGCAAAAATGCACGGACTCTCTTGAAGCTTCTCGTTATTCTGTGGGACTGAAGAGAAGAAAAAAAAAAGATGTTACACTGCAACGTACATCAAAATGGTACTGCAATGGTACTGAAATGAGTCATGTTTGATCCCTCATTTTAATTCCTGATTTGTAGTACACCCACAGTTTGCTTAGAGCTGTATTTCTTTAAATTGGCATTAGAGAAGAAGTTGTCTGCTGGGCTTGGAGGATGCTCCTCTAAAGCCAAAGAGACACAAATAGTAAAAAGGGCACCTTGTCATGGCAAGTAATGAAGGGAGAGATGTGCGACAAATGTTTTTCCTTCAGCTTCCCAATGAGGGAAAGGTCCACACTTTAAAATAAGAGCACATTATGAATGTTATCATAGCATGAAGACTAGAATTCAGGAGGGAAATGTGTTACTGCATAACATGAAAGTATTTACAGATGAGACCATTAGACTGGCTGCGAAAAGGGGGAAAAAAAGCAATCTAACATCAAGTGATAAGATAGCATCAGAATGCTGGTCCCAAAGGGCAGAGAAAAGAGGTGTCAACAAATGTATCAACTTAATGGTGCAATTTTAGAATAAGGTAATCTAATGATCTGTGGACTGAAAGAGATAATTAGCCACAATGCAGGCTGGATAAAAACTGAATTAGTCAGTTTAATTTAAATTTAAAAAAATCCACACTACATTTTTCTTTAAAAAAACTAACTTGTTTAAAATTAAATTAGAAACGATGACAGCTATACTAAGGCTTAACTTTACTCTAAGGTATTAAAATAATTCCTACTGAAAACCATTCAAACTGCACATGTTTGCTGCTGAAGTTTTTAAAAAGTCCAAGCTGGAAGTCAGAATAAGGCCAAAAGGAACCACCTGATTATCTAGGCCACAGGTGGGCAATAATTTTTGACCATGAGCCACTTCAGAAATTTCTGAAGTGGCCCAGACCATCCTGGAAGGGGCAGGGATTCAGGCAGAAGGGGTGGGGCCAGGACACTTTCACGCTTCCCCACCCACAGACCCTGATTGGCCTGTGGGTGGGGGAGAGTGAAAAGCCCCCTTCCCCCCAAGAGCACGCCAGCAGTTCTGAACAGCTGGCGGTTCCCTCTAGGTACCCATGCCTCTGGCAGCAGGAGACTGTGCGCGCAGCAGCTGGCAGTTGAATTAAGTGCCAAACTCCTCCTTGAAGGGCAGGAGGAGACTTCATGCACTCCTCCCACCCCCGATCCCGGATTGGCCTGGGGGAGCGCGCTAAGTCTCCCTCAGCCCTGCCCCCGTCCTGCAAGGGAGACTGTGGTGCTTAGAAGCACCACACCCCTCACAAGGCAGGAGGAGACTTGGGTGTGCTCCCCTCCTTCTGCCCCCAGGCCCATCATGGCCTGGGGTTGGGTAGAGCACGCAAAGTTTCCCCCCGCCTTGCCAGGGGCATGTGGCGCTTCTGCGGTCCAGATCAACTCGCTTGGCCCACAGAAGCCCTTTTGCCCACCCCGATCTAGGCTGTCCTCCCAGGTATTATGCAGGGGGCAGGTGGAGGAGGGAATACTCTATCCCCTCCTCCAATTGCTGGCCCATTTAAAGGCAACAAATCTCATTGGCTAAGCACTAGTTACCTTATTACCTAAGGTGTTAACAAGCAGTAGCCTCTTCTGCAGGTACAGAGAGAATAGTTTCTTCATTTTAGTTTATTAGACTAGATCAGTTCAAAGACTAATTCATTCACATTTGAAAAATTGATTGAGAGTGAAAAAGCTGGAAAGCTTGTTTACCTCTTTTGAGCTATGAATAAAAACTAGGTATCAGGAGAACTACAATTCTAAAATCTTGAACCAATTCACCATCTGCAAATACTTTAAGAAATCAGTTTTAAATGCAAAACATGTTTTGGTAATTTTTCTCTTGTGCATCCAAAGCACGGTACTTTTATTGAACTAGAACAACGCCATTTTTAAATGCTGCCTTGGGGCATTTTTAGTTGAATTCTAGTTTCCATGCAAGCGTACCTCCACACATATAAAAGTCTAGTAAATAAGTATTTCATTCACCATTTTCTAATGTAATAAAAAGTCAAAGTTACAAATCTGAACAAATGCATATGAAGGTCATACAAGTGCTTAAATGTGTGCAGGACAGCCTCCTGATTAGCACAAAAAAGTGTCCAAATTATACCATCGAGACTCAACCTCTTCAGAAATTAACAATTAGAATCAATTATTCAAATCAAGATTTCCTGCTTGGTGATTTAAATCACTTTGATTAAAAAAAAAAAAATCAATTCACCCTGCAAGAAACTCTCCTTTTCCAAAGCAGCCACCTTTTCCAAGAGCAATGCTCATGCCCAGATGGAGAGCGCAAGCCTCAGCAGCGAAGCCAGGAGCAAAGCAGTCTCCCCACTTATCCCATCATCACCATGGGATCCAGTTTCCAACAGAGGTTGTGATCATCTCATCTCACTGCAGCAAGATACTGAGCATACCACCTATCCCAAACACAGAAAAGGCCTACTTCTAAAACATACCAAATGGCTGCTGCCAGGTGCCTCGGGTAAAGGTGTCACTTCATGATTACCTCTCACCCAAACGTAATTGGGCTATAAGTCCTGCCAAAGGCTGGGAAGGAAACAAGTATGACTGTGAGGCAGCTCTGCAGTATTTTCCTCATGCCACGAAACAGACTGAAGCATCAACAGCCCTAGTCAATTTGACTGCACAACCAATCCCATAGGAAGGGCAACAACATCAATGCAAAACACTCACTTTCCTTCTGCAGCGAGGGAGGACTGCCCTTAAAGAGGAAATGAGAGACCTTGAAGGAACTGGGCAGCGCAGCAAAGATTTAGGCTCCTCTCACCCATAGCCAGTGAAATTCAGTACTGGGTAGACCAGAGGAGGCTGCTAGAAACGGATATGAGCAAAGAACTCTTAGATATTCCTAGACCAAAACAGGAATGTTACATTGCATTTACCTATCAAATGTGTAACCTCTAGAAATTTCAGGGGTTATACAGTTGGGGGGGGGGGGGGAAGACGAGGAGCACGGCAGGCTCACATGTAACTGGGCCCAAGTTCATCAGTTAACCATGTAAACAGTTACACTTTCACATCCCTAGTCCAAAAGCAGCTAGAAACAGGGGCATACTGGTCCACCTACTTCAGTATCCCTCTACCAATAACGGCTACTCACTGATACTTCAGAGAGGTGTGTGTGTGCACGTGTGCTGTTCAGTATATTATGGATAATTTGTCTTCAGGAAGAATTTCCACCAGATATTGACTAGAGGTAGGTTTATGACCTAAAGCAGGGGTGGGGAACCTATGGCCTGCCTTGATCCATCTCCCACACCCCGACCACAGTGGCATGAGCCTGCACTGCTGCCACATGGGGGGCACAGTGGCTGACGCGCCAGCTCCCCGCTGTGGGGGAAACACTGAGTCTCTCAGACCCGATCAAAGCAAGCTGCAGGCTGGATTTGGACCATGGTCTCTGTGCACTGCTGGGAAGCACTCCCTGAAGGCATCCCCCCACCCTGACCCGGTTTCTCTCATTGACCAATGGGAGTGGGAGCCAGTGGGGAGTACCTTCTGGCAATATACAGAACCACCTTTTCTCCCTGCCTTGGGAGTTGTGCCTGGTAGGCACTCCTGGCCCAGACCACAAATTCCTACCCCACTCCTTCACCCCCCCCTTCCACCCAGACTCCTCACCTCCAGCTCGCTCCTGCATTCTCCCTCCTGTGCAGACCCTGTACCTTCATCCCAGCCTGCTCCCCAGTTGAAGGGTTTCCAGATGGTTTCAGAAAAAATACCAAAAAAACCCCACGCTAGGAAAAAGTTTAAGCAAAAAAAAAGACCTGAGAGTTGTTCACCAAAAACAACAACAACAACGATTACCACCACCACACAAACACCGTGGCCCCTTTAAAAGCCACTTGGTGAGGCTTTTTGGTCCTAACAGGCTACTGGCAACTGCCTGCCATCTTGTCTCCTTGCTCTGGGCCCAAAAGCTCCCTGGTAAGCACTGGGGTTGCTAGGCAGCCTCCGTATTAAGCCAGATAGCCCAGAATTTTTGCCTCGTGGCCAGGAAAAAAAAAAAAATCAGAAAGTACTGGACATTTTAGGTGTCTGGTGTTTTCCAAATTTTTTTTAAAACCAGACAAGAGGCAAAAACAACAGATTGTCCTGTTCAATACCGGATACCTGGTAATCCTACCCAGTAGCCCTCTTGCGCTCACTGAACCTCTCATTTTTGGCCCCACCACAGAATCTAGGTGGTCCCATAAAATCCACTAGCCCCAGACCTCAAAAGTGTTAATCCAGCTCTGAGTCTCAGCCCCTCCCCTGGCCCATGGGACTCGCAAGTCTCCTTTTCCTGCTTCTCACCTGAGAGCCATACGTGTGAGGGTTTTTCTTCCCCGTCTGACTCAGGGGGACAGGCCAGTGAGGGTTGCGGGTGGGTTTTTTCCCTTCTCACTTGCGTGGCCGCCCACTTTGACAGCTTTCAGCAGGTCAGTGGCCATGACCCTAAAAAGGTTTCCCACTCTTGGCCTAATGAATGAAACGGTCGTTCCTTCAAAAACAAAAAAATCTTACAGGTATTAAGTTAGAAATTCCTCATGGTTGGGCCTTAACAAAATGACTAGGTACATCCTTGGCCAACAGCAAAAAACGGTAAAACTATTCAATGCGGAGAATTGGGCACTCCTGAAAGTGGGGTTCAGCCTTTTCTGAAAGCAAGCTCTCCCCAATGTATGAGTTACAGCTTTCTGGATCTGTGTGGCTTCTGGGACAAATTTCTGTTAAAACCCCAGGGTATCAGATATAAAGAAGTTAGTTAATTATGAAGTTAGAGCTAGATCAGCAATTCTCAGACTTTAAGGCATACAATCTCTGCCACTCACAAGTACTTGGCATAACCCTTTAGGATTTTTGTCCAACATAATGACAATGGATTCTTACTCGGAGAAGGCAACCTACAAGCCAGTTTGCAAACAGCTGAGATGATCGCCTAATGCAATTTGAGGTCAGTAGAATCTTTAG